TTGACAAGGTCTTTACGCTCTAGCTGGTGAGCACATGGGTTATTCCTAGCTTTGTGGATTCTGGAGATTGTTTCCTGATGGCTTTTTCCTGGCCTTGATTACTTTCCTTTCATGTATGTTCAAATTAGTACTCAGCGAAAGACATAGATCTCCCTGGAGTTTATGAGGTTTTTTGTTTGTTTGTTTTATTTTTTCTGTGCAGATCCATTTTTCCCTATACTCTCCTGCAAATTTTAGCCGCCATGGCTACCCTGAACTTCAATCTTTGTATCCTCAACTCAGTGAAATTGATGAACTCTGCGTTCTCCCATGCTGTTCTGCTGCCTGGAAACTGCCTCTAGGCAGTAAGCTAGGATAGACGTAGGGATAATTTTGTTCGCTTCCTTTTTACAGGAATCATAGTCCTGAAATGCCTGTCGTCTAGTTCCTGAAAACTGATACATAATGTAGCTTGTCTGGCTTTCTTGTTGTTTAAGATGGGAGTGTATATGTAGTCTCTGGTACTTCATTGTTGCCATATGCAGAAGTCTTTACATTTCACACCTCAATATATTTTTTAAATGTGTATGTTATAAATACTTGAAGGAGTTGTTCTTTTTCCGGGTACACCAGTTTGGATGCTTTCAGTTTAAGCTTACTAAGACAATGGAATATTTGAAAATAATAATGGCAACTGTTTACTGAGTCTCAGCCCTGTGCTGGATGTTTCATATACATTGTCTTGAATCATCACAAAAACATTTAAAGATAGATATTATTGATATCATTGTCTCCATTTTAAGGGAATCAGAATTGATGTTTAAATCAGTAACTTGACTAAACTCATCAGCTAGTATATTGAACAGCTTACATATGAATATAGTCTCTTGGAGTACTCATTTGTCCAGACCACAGTGCCTAATGTGTAGTATTAAAATGATATCACACCGGCTGGGCACGGTGGCTCATGCCTGTAATTCCAGCACTTTGGGAGGCCAAGGTGGGTGGATCACCCTGAGATCAGGAGTTTGAGACCAGCCTGATCAACATGGTGAAATCCTGTCTCTACTGAAAATACAAAAATTAGCTGGGTGCAGTGGTGAGTGCCTGGGATCTCAGCTGCTTGGGGGGCTGAGGCAGGAGAATTGCTTGAACCCGGGAGGCAGAGGTTGCAGTGAGCCAAGATCACACCGTTGCACTCTAGCCTGGGCAACAAGAGCGAAACTCCATCTCTAAAAAACAAACAAACAAACAAAAACAAACAAACAAAAAAGATATCATACCCAAAACCGTAGAAGTCAAAATAATTTGTGGTGAAAAGGTTAGCTCTTGCAGAAAATTTAAGTAATTCTGATAATAGCGTTTTTTGCGATATAGGTGAATAACTAATGTGTTCTTTTGTTTGTGTGTGTGTGAGAGAGAGAGAGAATGAATCTGGGTGCAGATTTCTGTGTGCATGTTTTTGGTGAAGTGAATAAAGGAGCTTTACCTGGCCACATTGACCTTCTTCGAGCCCTGGTGACTTTGAATATGATACTGAAATTGCATTCAATTCCCAAAGTTATTATTTTAATTTCCTAGGCTCCTAGGGCTGTTCTAACAATTACCATAAACTTAGTGGCTTACAACAACAGAAATGTATTTTCTTCCAGTTCTGGAGGCCAGAATTCCCAAATCGAGGTTTCAGCAGAGCTGCACACCCCCTGAAGGCTCTAGGGGAGAATCCTTCCTTGGCTCCTCTAGCTTCTAGTGACTCTCGGCATTTCTTGGCTTGTGGCAGCATCACTCTCTCTCTGCTGCCGTCTTCCCATGGTCTTCTTTCCTGTGTCTTTCTGTCTTTTCCTCATCTCTTCTCTTCTAAGGACTTGCTAGTGGATTTAGTGTGCCTCCCCCCAAACTCCCACCAATCTAAGATGATTTCATCTGATATCCTTAACTGGATTACATCTGAAAAGACCCTAGTTACCAAAGAGGTCACATTCACAGGTATCAGAGGTTAGGACTTGGACATAGCTTTTTGAGGAATACAATTCATTTCACTACTGTTTTTATGAGAGCTCTGAGAGTCTTCCAAATGGCTGCTCTTTCGTATTCTACCAGGGAGGCTATCAAGCTGTCTTGAAGGAAGGTGGTTTGGACACCTCTGTGTTCATTTCCAAGGTGTTGAAGGTTTTAGACAGTTAAATAACAGAAGCATGCCCTTTGACTTTGCTAGGCCAGCTCTCTGCTTGATCCCACAGAAGCTGGCTACCTTGCAACCCAGGCAGTTATCTCCTGTAATTATTCATAAACCACAACTGAGAAATAACTCTAGACACCCACATCTGAACAAGATGAATCTCTAACTTGTACATCCAAGCCTGAGTGTGACTTCTCTCCAGGTATCTCTCTTTCCATTTGGGCAGCAAGACAGCCCTTGGGTCCTCGCCACTTTTGAGTCAGAGATTCTATCTTCCAAGGTTCTGTTTCACTCCCTCTCTGCATATATTTGGTGACCAGGTATCCTGTTTTGTAACTTTCTTATAATGTCTTTTTATCTGCACACGTAAGCAACAACTTTTCTTCTTAATTCTTCTTTGTGACCTCGCCAACTAAGAATCTTGAACATGATGGGACTGAATGTTTAAGGCATTAGACTTAATAACTAGGTCATTACCACTATTTACTAACCTGGACTCATTCGCAGTGATCTTTTCTTTTCGCCTTGCCACAGCATAATGAGGTTATTAATTACAGCAAAAGGTGTAAGTACTCCCAGTTTGCTCTAATGCTGTCTGGGGAGATGGCTGGGTCTTTGGTCATAATTCCTGTTAGATGACTCCAAGGAGATACAGTTAAGTTGCCATGAAATGATACTTCCCTTCTATGTAAACTTGTTTTTTTCTTTAAATGGGTTGTTTTTAGGTCCCTAAAATTCCCAGTTATAATCCACCTAATGCCTCCTTCGGCTGAACAGGGGAGGCCATGGAATGTGGCAGTTAAAAGCACAGGCCTGGCTGGGCATGGTGGCTCACACCTGTAATCCCAGCACTTTGGGAGGCTGAGGCGGAAGGATCACGAGGTCAGGAGTTTGAGACCAGCCTGGCCAACATGGTGAAACCCCCTTTCTACTAAAAAAAAACCAAAAAACAAAAAACAACAACAACAACAAAAAAAAACGAAAATTAGCTGGGCATGGAGGCGGGTACCTGTAATCCCAGCTACTCGGGAGTGAGGCGGGAGAATTGCTTGAAACTGGAAGGCAGAGGTTGCAGTGAGCCAGGATCGAGCCATTGCACTCCAGCGTGGGTGAAAGAGTAAAACTCCATCTGAAAACAACAACAACAGCAACAAAACACAGGCCCCGGAGCCACACTCGCTGGGTTTGAATACCAACTCTGCTACCTACTGTATGATGCTGCGCACATTTTTTGATCTTTTTCTGCCTCCATTTCCTCATCTGGACAAATGCGAGGATTAAATGAATTCATATATGTAAAATGCTTAGGCCAGTACCTGGCACATAGTGAGTGCCTCATACATGTGAGTGATTATGTTCATCCATTAAACCCAAAGAAATTGCGTTTGGCATCTACTGTGTATAAGGCACAGTTTGGTGCTATGCACTTTAGCCGGTAGCATTATAGGTTGACTTGTCACCCCCAAAAGTCATATGTTGAAATCCTAACCCACAGTAGAATGTGACCTTATTTGGAAATAGCGTCTTTAAAGAGGTAATCAAGTAAAAGTGAGGCCATTAAAGTGAGGGTAGTGTATATGACCAGTGTCCTTATAAGAAGAGAAACTTTGAATATAGAAGGAGGACAATGTAAGGAGACACAGGGAGCAGATGGCTGTCTATAAGCCAAAGAGAGAGGTCTGGAACACATCCTTCCCTTACGGCCCGCAGCAGGAACCAGCCCTACCAGCACCTTGATTTAGGAGTTCTAGCCTCCAGAACTGTGGAGAATGAATTTATGCTGTTTAAGCCACCTGTTACAGCAACCTTGGGAGACTAAGACAGATGTCTTAGTGAGATTATAGTGAGAAATCTCAGGGAGCATGTCATCTGGTAAGAAGGATGTATTCCATGGGACTCTAGTTGTAAGCAACAGAAATCCACAAAAGCTCGCTTAAACCCATAGGCCACCCAAAAGATGAACTCACAAAATCCAAAGGTAGGTCTGTAGCTGGCACGTAAACATCAAGTGGGCTCCCCGTCACTTGCCCCTGTCCCCTCTCTTGGTGACTGTGACACTCCTCTCTCTCTCTCTCTCTTTCTCTCTCTCTTTCTCCACCCTGGTTTTCTGTGCTTCGCCAGTGCAAATGGGAGAAAACATGGTCGTAAATAGCACCCAGGGTTGTGCATTACAGATACAACCACCTAGAAAGAAACTGCATGACTCACTCATCAGTTTCAAACTCTCAGGGAAGAGTATCTCATTCTTCCACCCTGAGTCAGATGCTTACCCCATCAACCGTGACCAAAAGGGCAGTATGTCAATGAACAATCATGGTGCTGCTGCTGTAACCAGATGGATAGAGCAAGAGGAGGGGGCCATTACCAAGAAAAGAAAACTGGGCATATGACCAGGGTGGGGGGTGGCTCCATTAATAGAGATAAATAGTCGCAGAATTATGATGCCATACTACTGTACAGCATGAAGGTAAAAAATTCTAGAGAAAATGTCCCATCGGACAGCATCTGGCATGTTCTAGTCTTGGACGTGGAATTGCTTCTTCCACCTTCAAAGAGGCAGAAATTAGCAAGGATTAAAAGCATAGGTCCTTGAATCAGAGACATATGGGCTTCAATCTAGTTTGGCCTTGTATTAATTGTGCTGCCTTGGACATGTCACCAGGCCTCTTAGAGCCTCAGCTTCCTCATCTTTCAAAAAGAAAGATGAAAATGTCACCAACTTCCCAAGTTTGAGGTGAGCTTTAAAGGTGTATTTGGCATCTCTAAGTACCCAATATGTGTTAACCCTTGTTACCACCATTGGTATTTGATGAATCCTTTTTTGCTTTGCTTTCTTCTTCAGGCTGAATTCTCAGAGTTGAACCTAGCAGCCTATGTTACCGGGGGCTGCATGGTGGACATGCAGGTCGTGAGAAATGGGGCCAAAGTGGTGAGGTAAGTAGGACTAAAATATGCAGAACCTTCTGAGAATTGCGTATGTAGAACCTCATGTAGCCCACCCCTCCGTCCACTGCCTGCGACCTAACTCCTATGCTGCATGTACTTTCCTATACAGAATGTCTGCTTCCCAGGTGTGGTTGCAGTAGTAATGACCAGCGGCACATATCATAGGGGCAGTGCCTGTAGTGTCCCCGAGTGAGCCCTGGGCTTGGAGAGAAAAGACTTGGGTTCCATTGCTGGCTTCGAGGCTCTGCTCTGGCATATTATTTAGTCTCTTGTGTCCTCTGCTTCTCATCTGCAGCGTGATGATATGCACTGAAGTTAGAGGCTGCTAAAGTTTACAGAAACTCACATATATGACAGCACCCTGTTAACTCTAAAGTGTGGTATGAATGGAAGGCTTTATTAGAATAAATGAAATTCAGCTTCCTGCAATATGGCAGACTAAGTGTTCGTAGAATCTTCTCCAAGTAGACCAAAACTAAAAGCACTAGATATATAATATGTGCAAAAAAATCTGTTTGTAATTTATGCTGAATTGGAGAGCAAGTGAGAGGTTTATTCAGAAGCCGGAAATGGTAAGAATGTGTAAATCCATAGGTGAGATAAGCACGTGCATAAATACATTGCTATCCACTTAAGTACCCAGAGAATGATACACACTAGGTCTTGTGAGGGTTTAGAGAAGGAAGAGATAGGATTCAGATTTGGGAAAGGAGGAAAAACAGGAAGAGCTTTGAGGAAAAGGTAACATTTGTTCTGAGCCTGGTCCAATGGTAGAATGTGGACATTCTCAGACTGGGTGTAGAGAAAGAGAAATATATCCTAAGAGTAGGAAACAGCCTCTGCAAATAAAGACAGATCCAAAAAAAAGGTACGTGATGTTTGGTGTATTAGTCTGTTTTCATGCTGCTGATAAAGACATACTTGGGACTGGGTAATTCATAAAGAAAAGGAGGTTGAATGGACTCACAGTTCCATGTGGCTGAGGAGGCCTCACAATCACGGCAGAAGGTAAAAGGCGTATCTTACCTGATGGCAGACAAGAGAGAATGAGAGCCTGTGCAGGGAAACTGCCCTTTATAAAATCATCAGATCTCTTGAGACTTATTCACTATCATGAGATCAGCATGAGCAAGAGCCACCCCCATGAGTCAATTACTTCCCACCAGGTCCCTCCCACAACACATGGGAATTGTGGGAGCTACAATTCAAGATAAGATTTGGGTGGGGACACAGCCAAACCATATCATTTGGGAAATTATGATAATTCAACTAATTCAGCTCATTCTTTATTGAGTACCTACTGTATGCCACGAAAGACATCACATGGCTTCCTATTTCTAGTAACAGTGGGCTAGGTCATTTGGACCAGCTTTTTCCCTGAAAACAACTTAAAAACTGATACTAAATAATTACAATCTTTAAAGGCCTTCTAAGAGTTGGTGTGACAGTAAAGAATTACCAGGAAGAGACTGATGGGAAAATGAAAACCCAGAGAGGTAAATAAGTACAAAGCCACCTGTATCCTGAGAGTATTTGCTAGGTCGGCCAAATTTGGAACGGGTTTTGAGAGCTCAGTGGAGGCAAGGGAGACAGAAATCAACACTCAGGGCCACTCAGAATAGGGAGTGTAACAGTAGACCCTCTCCACAATAAGCTGAGATTCCCCAAAGGACTATACCTTCTAGGTGAACAAGAATTACAAGTAGGTGAGCCCTCACAAGTACTTGCAGCTTGAATTGCAGTTTGAATAACCCAGCCCTCCAGGAAACCTCAAGCATTGAACTTGGTTTATGGTGATCCCAGACATGCCAGAAATAAAAGCAAATCCTGTGTGAAGGAAGGCACTTTCAAGCTAGACTTCAAATGATCCTTCAAATAATTTTTTTATATAGTAGCTAGCACGTAGTCAAAGATAACCAGGTGAAACAGAAACAATAGACAATGGAGACAGAACCTCAAAGACAGAAGACATTAGAATTATCAGACAGATTATTTTTAAAAACTATACATATCAAATTGAAAAAAATCAAGTTTGGAGATATCTGCAGAGAAAAGGACACTACAAAAAGTGATATAACCAGGTTTTTTTCTTTTTTTTTTTGTTTTGAGATGGAGTTTTGCTCTTGTTGGCCAGGGTGGAGTGCAATGGCATGATCTTGGCTCACCGCAACCTCCATCTCCCAGGTTTAAGCAATTCTCCTGCTTCAGCCTCCTGAGTAGCTGGGATTACAGACATGCACCACCACACCCGGCTAATTTTGTATTTTTAGTAGAAATGGGGTTTTGCCGTGTTGGTGAGGCTGGTCTCAAACTCCTGACCTCAGGAGATCCACCTGCCTTGGCCTCCCAAAATGCTGGCGTGAGCCACCGCGCCCAGCCAATATAACCAGTTAGAAAACACACACACACACACACACACACACACACACCCCTTCTAGAAATGAAAACTACAATAATCAAAATTATTGTGTTTAAGATCCAGTAGACACAGCTGAAAAAGTGTTTATGAAATGAAAGGTACAGCTGAAGAGATTATCCTGAACGAAGCACAGAGAGAAAAAGACTCGAGGTGCAGGAAAGACTGTTAGATCCTAGGAGAGGGTCTAACATTCATTTAATCAGAATCTCAAAAGAGAGAGGTAAAAGAATAGAGCAGAGACAGTATTTGAAGAAATGATTGTTTTGTAAAGATACCAAACCACAAAAAACAGAAGCTTGGCAAATTTCAAGCAGGATAAATAAAAATAATTCCACACCAAGACTCAATAGTGATATTTAGAAAGAAAAAGCCAGAGGGGAAAAGGCAGATTACAGATGGTCCCCAATTTATGATGGTTTCAGTTATGATTTTTTGACTTTATGATGATACAAAGCGACACTCATTCAGCAGAGCATTAATAAATTTCATGAGATCTTCAACACTTTATTATAAAATAGACTTTTTGTTCAAATATTTTGCCCAACTGTAGGCTAATGTAAGTGCTCTGATAATGTTTAAGGTAGGCTAGGCTAAGCGATGACGTTTGGTAGGTTAGGTTTAATAAATGCATTTTCTTTTTTTTTTTTTTTTGAGACGGAGTCTCGTTCTATCGCCCAGACTGGAGTGCAGTGGCGCAATCTCAGTTCACTGCAAGCTTTGCCTTCCGGGTTCACGCCATTCTCCTGCCTCAGCCTCCTGAATAGCTGGGACTACAGGCACCCACCTCCATGCCCGGCTAATGTTTTGTATTTTTAGTAGAGACGAGGTTTCACCGTGTTAGCCAGGATGGTCTCCATCTCCTGACCTCGTGATCCGCCCGCTTCGGCCTCCCAAAATGCTGGGATTACAGGTGTGAGCCGCTGCGCCCGGCCAATAAAGGCATTTTCAACTTAGGATATTTTCAACTTACAATGGGTTTATTGGGATGCAGCCCCTTCGTAAGTCAAGGAACATCTGTACTTTTATTAAAGTAACAGACTAGCGGCTACCTGAGAACAATGGTGGAAAAATGTCTTCAGTGTGCTGAGAGAAGTTAATTGCCAACCTATACTTCTTTCCTCAGAGAAACATCTTTTATGAGTGATGGCAAAATAAAAACATTTACAGACCTTCGCAAAGGGAAACTACAAAGTATGGATGTACTTTAGGCAAAAAGAAAGGGATCTCAGATTAACATAGAACTGCAAGATTATGTGAATGGCAAAGAAGGTGGTGTTAATAGGTATTGTCTTCAAAAGACAAAATAATTTTATGAATTTAAAAATATGTGAAGGATTAAAATATACAACATTAAGTTAGTAGAGATTGAGGGTAAATGGAATTAAGATGTTCTGAGGCCCTTGTATTGTCAGGGAAGAAAGTAAACATGGCCAGGTATGGTGGCTCACGCCTGTAAATCCCAGCACTTTGGGAGGCCAGGTGTGTGGATTGCTTGAGCTCAGGAGTTTGAGACCAGCCTGAGCAACATGGTGACACTCCATCTCTATGAAAAATACAAAAAAACCCCAGCAGGGTGTGGTTGTGCACACCTGTAATCCCAGCTACTCGAGGAGGCTGAGTTGGGAGAATCGATCGAGCCCGGGGAGGTCAAAGTTGCAGTGAGCCATGATCATGCCACTGCACTTTAGCCTGGGTGACAGAAATACCCTGTCTCAAAAAAAAAAAAAAAAAAAAAAAAAGAAAGTAAATATATTGATTAATAACAGGCTTTAAAAACCAACACAGAACAGGTGTTATAAATAACCCAAAGTAAATGGTTGATTAACACCCAGTATATCAGCAGGTCTGAGTTGCTATCATTCTGAATTGCTTATATAGCAGTGCTAGTTATTAAAATACTGAAATTTTTCTATACGAGTTGGTAAACAGCCATTGCCTTGAGCCTGCTAAGTGCCTTCAGCCACCCTAACCCCATGGGACTGTTCCTGTGTCCCCCAGTCCACCACACTCCTGTCCCCAAGCCCATATTCTTGTTTTCCCCTGGCCAGAGGATGCCCAGACATTGTAGGGAAGAACTTCAGAAGTAGTAGTGGAACCCCAGAGAGTGAATGCCTGGTTTTTCCTGTCTCTTCAAGGCTGTAAATGCCTGTGCATCTTCTGGAGTCGCCCTCTCATGGTCATTTGTGAGAACTGCAAACCCACAAAGTACCCTGGGAGTTGTTCAATATTTGTATCACCAATGTATGTATACCAATAATTACATTAAATGTAAATGGATAAATGCACTAATTAAAGAGAAGGGTTACCAATGTAACTTAAAAAAATCCAAATGTATTCCATTCAAGACATTCATCTACAACATAAGCATACAGAAAATTTGAAAGTTAAAGAAAGAGGAAAAATATACCATGCAACTCTGCAGCAAAAGAAAGCTCACGGATGCAACTGCATTAATATCTAGGGGAAAATAGACTCCCAGGTGAAAAGCATTACTAGGGAAAAGGAAGTAATTTATTATGATAAAGATTCATTTACTGAGAAGAAATAATTTTAAATTTATAAGCACTAT